TTTTGGGGGGGACCAAGGAAGGGTTGGGGGGGACGGACCCCGGGGGGGGGGTTTTTGGGACCGGTTTTTTTTTTTTTTTGGGGGGGGGGGGTTTTTTCCCCCTGTTTTTTAAACGGGGTTTTTGCCCGCCGGTTTTTTTTTTCCCCTTTTGGTTCCATTTCTTCTTTTTTTTTTGGGTTGGGCCCCGGGTTTCCCAAAAGTGCGGGCCTTTTTTTATGAAGGGGGGGGGGTTTTTTTTCTTTTAGGGAAAATTTTTTTCGCCCCTTTTCCCGGGGCCCCCGAAAGGGTTCCCCCCATTTCCATTTGAAAAGGCCCTATTCCCTTTGGGGGTTTCCTTCCCCCCCCCCCCCCCCCCCCCCCGCGCTCCTGACGTAAAGTTTGACGATGTCCAGGACGGAGATAGCGGCGCGACCGCTGCCGGTGGTGGCCCACGAGGGGTAGTCACGGAGCACCGCGGCCTCCGACACCTCGCTCGAATCACCTCCCGCAAGAAGCACGCCGATCTCATCGTGTTCCACTTCAAGTCTCGGTCAGGGAGTGGGGCCTCGGCGACAGGGACGGCGGCGGCGGCGGCGGCGACAGCGTCAGCAGCGGCAAGCTCTAGCTCGAGGCGATCGCGGTCGTCGTCGGACAGCAAGTCAAACCCTGACATCCTCTTCTATTTCATGAAGGACCACGCGGACTGCCTCCGGATGGTCAAGGAGAACTACCGCAAGATCACCCAGGGCGACGCCTCCTCCTCCTCCTCCTCCAGATCTTCGTCGACGGCAACGGCGGCGTCTCGGAGAAACCCGGGGGCCGAGCCTTCCGACGACCCCAACCGGCGGCACGGCCGCCAGACGGCGAAAGCGGTGGCGGGGGCCGCCGCCGGAGCGGGGATGCTGGTGGTCGGCGCCGCCGGGGCGGGGATGGCGGTGGCCGGCGCCGCGGGGGTCGCCGTTGGAGCGGCGTTTGCAGCCGGAGTGGCGGCGGGGGCCAGCCGAAAGGACGGCGGCCACGAGGAGAGGGAGCCGAGGTCTACGT